CCCCCACAGAGACGAAGTGAAATACATTTACTTTAATCGCGCATTGAAAGCTTTACCCAGTCAAAGATTGGCGGTCTGGACAACTGTGTTTAACTCACGATCACTATGCTTGTCAAAGAGGTAAAAGTAGGACAGTTTGGTCAAGCACAACATGATAGATTGAAGTGCCTCCCGTACGTCAAGGAAGATTCCAACCCTGGCAATCATGTCGAAACTGAATTCACATTCTGTGGTACTTTCTGGGAGACTGTCGAATTAGTAATTCAAAAGTACTCAGTTGAAGAGGATGGAATTTTGTTCAAGTGATGTATTCCAAACGGGGAAAAAAGCAAGAAAAATACAAAACAGGTTCAATTTGCAAAACATTAAACTGAAGATGCTTTTTTTTTCTCCCTCCTGATGAATATTGCTTTCTGGGCTTCGGACATTTAAGCAACTTACCAAAGAAGGAAAAACAAGGCTGCATTGACTGCTTTTTGCAAAACTCTTGTTTTTTGTTAGTAGTCATGACGAGTTATAAAAACTCAAAGTCAGACGTCTTGTTAGTGAGACATTCACATTATGTGAGGTTGTTCTTGGGTAAGTCGTGATGTTGTCAACCACTCGGTGTTAAACTTACTCTCGAACTGAACGCCCTCAAAGAGATTTGATGTTGAAAAAAAATTGTCGAAAAAACCCCCCTAAAACTAACAACAACAGTCTTTGGATGTTGACACAGTCATAGAGTAGGTGTTCTCCAAATTGAGCACCAAGAACTTTTCGTTACAGAAAGACCAGCAGTAAAAAGAATTATCTAAAAAAAAGTCTTTAAAAAAGTATTAGTCTCCGAAACAACAACGGGAGAAAATGGATTTGGCTCCGCGGAGTTTCCGATAATACTTGGGACATGATTGAAGCTGTGTCTTTGCCTCAGGGGAGAGGAAATCTCATTCATGTGCTGGTTGAGAGGAGTTTTACTTCTGTCCTATTCAAAGAAGAAGGGGGTGGGTTTTTATTTTCATCACCCTTTCCAACACGTATTGGTTTTTACAGTAAATAAACATTTTCGCGAAAGTTTCAAATCAAACTTGCGTTTTCATTTCACTCTCTGTCAACTCTAGAAAGTGCTTGGGTCCCAGTTCGGTCAATATGTCTTCTCGATAAGAAGTTGAAAATCGCACTTTTCTCTTTGTCATTTGGTGTAACACTTTGCATCTGTCTCCACAACACTTGGTAAAATATCGATCTCCTCTTCTGAAAAACCATCACTTGACATCCCATCTTAAAATCTGTGCGCACTCTCGTCAAACCTTAAGTTTTAAGTGGGACCTACATTTTATTACTAGCACCGAATCTATCTGATTTCGAAGGCCCTCATAGAATAGAACATAATATAGATGAACCAACCACTGTAGCCATAGAAACTGGCCACGCAACCAGTAGTTCTCCTAAGGCTTGATATGAAGCATAATAAATAGGTTAGAAATACGTCTCTTTAACACCACAGTGGCTTCTGAACTCTGCATTCCGTTCCGTGTCCTAAATTTTGCTAAAAGAAGAATCAAGAAAGTTAAAGGAATAAACGTTAGTGGCCATGCATGAGTTTGGTACATTTTCCATAATATCGTGCTTCATTCAAGGGCGTCTGCGCACGATTTCCGTTTGATTATGTCCCTTTTTACTTCCTGTCCCCGAAGAGTTATTGGACTTCCGCTTGCATGTGTACCCTATCTGTCGGGAAATTTTCCTGCTGTCTGAGTTTTCCATTGCCCGAATTTTAAAAACCAACTGTCTCGCGCTTCAACACTTTCGTCGCCTGCATAATATCATTTCTGGGAGAAAATAAAAAATAAAACCTCTTACCTCTCAGCTCTCCAGGGATCGTTTCCAGTACTTTGACTTTCCATCAGAGTGCCGTCTCTTTGTTCTATCATTAGTTATATGCCGTTGATAGAACACCCAAGTCTATTGGGTAGTTCATGGGCACGATTCATTCACTTAGTATTTTTCTCACTCAATCTCTTTTAACGTTCTTCCTTTTTCGCAGTTCATTCTTCTGTTGTATTAGCCCCC